TTAGTCTCTCTGAGCAGCTGGCACCTTGTATGGCAGCTTTAGCCTCTGTGTGAATGTGTGTGAATGCTATGTAAAAGCACTTTGAGTGGAAAAGCACTATATAAAATACAGTCCATTTACAATAAAGAACAACAGATTTAGTTTCCCTACCTGCAAAAAGCCGAAAAACAGTTTTTTTGTTGGTATTTCAACGGGAAAAGGCAAAATTGACATCTTCCGTCATCTGTGACACCTCCTACGGTAGCCATGGTTTCTCAAAGTGCTGCAAGTAGGCATAGGTGGAGAAAAGATGATATGTGTATATATGAATATAAATGTGTGTGTGAGACATTAAAGTTCAAATCCAGACCCTTTTTACAGGTCTTCTCCTGAAAGCAGTGATAGTCCAGTATGTTATGGTGATAGTGAACAAAAACCTGGAAGTTACACTATCAAACTAAAGCCTCTGTTTGTTTGATGTGTGAAAGCACAACTTGTGAAATGCTTAGCCTCTTAGCATGGGGGCTATCCTGGAGTTGGCTTGATTGGCATTGTCCTGACACCTGTACATAGTATTCCTCTACTGCAGGGGGGTCCAAACTACGGCCATTTTGAATCGGCCCTCAGCCAATTCAAAAAGTATAATGGAATATGCTCCACAAATTAAACTTGTGCTTGTATTATATTATACTTTGTAATACGTACAAATATATTACACAGTATTCATGTGTTAGTAAGCGCCATTTTTAAAGTTGAAAACATTTTCTAACACATTTTTAAGTTGAAAAGAAAAAAGCCCAATAACTTATTTACAAGCTTTAAAAATACCCTTCATATTTCTACTTATTATAGATATCTGAGGCTTGTGTTTTAACGAATGAGCTGCTAACACAATAAATAAAACCCTCTGGAGAGCTGTGAGCTTTTTCTTAAAGCATTTTCAAGTATTAAGAATATTTTACCCACATTTGATCGATTTTGCTAACTTATAACTGAACTTATGAGGCAATATTCCTCACCTCTAGTGAGTGGCCCAGCCCTTCGTATATTTTTCTGTATGTGGCCCTCAGTGAAAAAGGTTTGGACACCCTGCTCTACTGTTACACCAACAACTTATCTGTGAGCTTTAAGAAAGGAAAACAGATCTCTTCTCTCCATGTTTTTCTCCCTGCAGTTGTTCTGGAGCGTGTACAACAACATCCCTCCAGCCACGGCCCTGCCTCTGAGGTGCAGCTATCACTTAATGCGTGGAGAGCGGAGGCCTCTGTGGTGCGTCTGTTATCACTGTCAATATTAGAGTTTATTCCCTAACAGCAGCAGGAGCACAGGGCAGAGTCCAAGCTCAGGCACTCACTGTCATGTCATGTAATCATTTCCCTTCAGTTAGACACAGTGGTGGAAAGTAACGAAGTACATTTACTCAAGAACTGTCCTTAAGTACAATGTTATGCTACTTTGTACTTATTCCACTACAATTCTGAGGTAAATGGTGTACTTTTACTCCACTACATGTATTTAATACGTTCTGTTACTTTACAGATGTGGATGAATGATGTGAAATATAATCAAGTGTTAAATCAGACTTTAGTTCCACCTGGAGTGAATTCACAAGCTACTCTGCAGTATAGAAAGTCATTCAAACTAGCTGCACCTTTACCAGCTTTGAGAACACTTTCATGATCAATCATTATAAAACATATCATATATATTATTCTGAAATGGACCAATCTGCACAATGACTACTTTTACTGTCGCTACTTTCACTATATTTTGATGATAACACTTTTCTACTTTTACTTGAGGAACATTTTGAATGCAGGACTTTGACTTGTAACAGAGTATTCCTACACTCTGGTACTTCTACTTTTACTCAAGTACAAGATCTGAGTACTTCTACTTTTACTCAAGTACAAGATCTGAGTACTTCTACTTTTACTCAAGTACAAGATCTGAGTACTTCTACTTTTACTCAAGTACAAGATCTGATAACTACTACTTTTACTCGAGTACAAGATCTGAGTACTTCTACTTTTACTTCTACTTTCACTACAAGATCTGAGTACTTCTACTTTCACTACAAGATCTGAGTACTTCTACTTTTAATCAAGTACAAGATCTGAGTACTTCTACTCAAGTACAACATCTGAGCACTTCTACTTTCACTACAAGATCTGAGTACTTCTACTTTTACTCAAGTACAAGATCTGAGTACTTTTACTCAAGTACAAGATTTGAGTACTTCTACTCAAGTACAAGATCTGAGTACTTCTACTTTCACTACAAGATCTGAGTACTTCTACTTTTACTCAAGTACAAGATCTGAGTACTTCTACTTTTACTCAAGTACAATATCTGAGTACTTCTACTCAAGTACAAGATATGAGTACTTCTACTTTTACTCAAGAACAAGATCTGAGTACTTTTACTCAAGTACAACATCTGAGTACTTTTACTCAAGTACAACATCTGAGTACTTCTACTTTCACTACAAGATCTGAGTACTTATACTTTCACTCAAGTACAATATCTGAGTACTTATTCCACCTCTGGTAGCATATTATGGAGTGGAAAATAATATTTACAAATGTGTACAATGATTTGTAGGTAATTTTGACTAGTCAAGACACCTGACTTATACATCTTCAAAGGAAGACTGTGTTCATTCTACAATTATATGGGATTAAAGCAAAATGTAGTTTTACTTGTATAATACTTCAAGATTTTATTTTAAAGCCTGTTTCTAAAAGTATCAACCGGTCAAATCCTCACTTTATAATTTATAACAACATACTATCAAGCTACGGTCTAATTACGCAACCAAGTAGTGCGTTTCGTGCCTGCGTCTTTTAGTCCGGTCGGGTCTTGGAAGACCCGAAGCTGTGTGGTTCATAAAAACATGTTCTTACTCAATATCAAGCCACCATTATTGTTTTATAATTTTAAATCGTATGTCGGGCTTTTTTTGCCGTCTGTGAGGAACATGAATGGGGCTCAGAGCCTCAGAATACTGAAATATGTATATATTTTGTTCCTTCTAATTTGTTATTATTTGTGACCCGCTCTATCGAAATCAGTCAAAAGTAGCAACGGCTCATTTAAAAAATAAACGTGGATTTGTGTAAAAAAACGAGTTTTTCAGGGTTCGGGTGTTTTGTTTGATTTTAAATAAACAAAGTATTGGCTTTCAGAATATGAAACTGTTACTTCCAAAATCTCACGATAAATACATTTTTAAAGCTTGGTAAGGGAAGAAGAGGCATCTCTCAATTCACACCCTGCTCTTCCGCAGCGCCGCTCCCCCTCCCTCCGGCTGAAATTATGAAGTAAAGGCGTACTCTGTATAGTAATCATAGATAACACGACAGGGTTCGGACAGTTTGTTTTCAAATAAACAAAGTCTTGGCTTTCAGAATATTAAACTTGTTTCGGCAAATTCAGATGATAAATATAACTTTGAAGCTTGTAACGGCATAATTACAAGCGGAGAACGGAGTAACTTAACTTCACAGCAAGCATAACAACAGCCGGTGTTTCTTGTGAGTGTTTCCCCGGTACACAAACACACACACACAAATGCAAAAAAATACACAAACACACACATACTCGCGAGCTTTCCCCAGACCAGTAATAAACGAAAATGTGTCTTCGGGTCAATGTGACTGATTTCGATAGAGCAAGTCACATTTGGTTTGGGAACGAAACATACTACCAGTAGAAATACATTGCTTTCAAAATCGCTCTGTGTCGAATCAATATATTATATTTCGTGACTATAACACGAAATGCCGTGAGACTGGGTTGAATTACAACAGTGAGTGCTTCATCCTCTGAACACCACAGGATGGCGACTGCAACGCACATATTAACATAGGCAACGTACATGCAACGTTAGCCTAATCTAAAATGCTCTACTACGGCGTACCTTTCATGTGGCTCGTCAGCGCAGACTCTCCCATCGTTATTTTTTTCAAACTTTGCAGGAGGCTACTCGTGGGCTTGACCCTCGAAACGGCAACCTCCTGGCATACTGTCATCTATCACTCATCAGAATGCCCAGGTCACACGTAACAAAAACACTTGCAGGTCACGCGCATAGGGGAAGGCCGGAGCGGAGCTGTTTTATGTAAAAGAGAAGCAATTAAGCTCGCTCCAACTTCTTTATTTTCTTTTAATCTAAAAAGCGAAGTAAAGTATTTACAATTCGAAGCACTTTATCCCAAATTCAAGAACCATTCCCAAAATTCAAGCACTTTTCAAACCTTGAAAACACCTCGTACAAAGGATTTCCACCACCCCTACGAACCCTGAAACTTATCTCGTGCCCTCATTGGTCATGTGTGCGTTCGTGTGTGTTGGAGGAGGGGCTCTGTAAGGAAGTGGCAGATTTTTTCCGGCTGTGTATTTTCAAATTGTAGCGCACTCGAGCTGTTTTCTCCAAAATTACCTACCCCACCTTTAAGTTAAGTAAGAAGTAACTACATAGTGTACCAATCACAGGGAACAGAGAAGTTACATTTTTATTATTAATTTTCTTTCATAGTAGATATATAAGTCACACTTCTTCAAAAACTATTTGAGTAACCTACTTTAAAACTTGTTGAATATGTTGTCATAACGCTAAGAAAACAATATCAGCCACATTCATTATTATATTGTTTTTTATACTCATAACCATCTCATATATAATCTTGGCCTTTTCACACCTAATATTCAACCTTTATTTATTATATACAATCAGTGTACATCTAACACATAATCAAATGGGCATGGTTTGCTAATCTTCAATTAGTTAAACTATGGTTTTACCCTAAACCAGTATATCACTGCAACCCAACAGGAAATACGCTTAAACAGTAAACATTTTAAGACTGGCAATATTTGTTAGTTTGAAATAAATGAGCACTAACAGCTCCAGTGAGGTATTATTACCAGGAGCTCCAAAGCAGTTAGCTTGTAGCCTGTGTTAGCGCGTAGCTTGTGTTAGCTTGTAGCCTGTGTTAGCGTGTAGTCTGTTAGCATACCTTGCAGCAGCGGGCACCAGCAGCTGCTCCACAGAGTCTGAGAGTCCGCCTCGATCCTCCGGCCGGCCGCCTCCAGGTGGCGCTGCTCCTCCGCCCAGGAACTGTAGATGCTGGCAGCCCGGGTGTGCAGTGTGTGCATCAGATCCAGAAGCTGAACCAAACATACACACACCCCAATGTTTACAATAACTCCACGTTTGGCTTTAGATATCTACAGTTTAGGTCTAAATGTATAGAGACACATGAAGACTAGGCTTACTGAAGTCTCAGGTTTAATCATTTACTACAACAAACATGCATGGGGTCAGTCACAAATGATTTATGAAGCCCTTCAAACATCTGGGTCATTGAACATATTGTATGTGTTTTCTTACAATCAGTTGAACTTTTACTCCTTTTATGTATTAGCTACTAATCAATTAAAGACTGCATGTATCAAAGTAAAGATATACAGAGTTACGTATCAGTTCTAAACTGTTTTCAGAATTATAATTTATTCAGAATTCCTTTATAACTAATAACTGTCTGAAAATAATTATAATGGCAACATGATAACAATACTCTTGACTGGTATCATTGTCCAGCCTTACATTCACACACAACCCAACACCACACCAGAAACGACAGGGATACTGTCAGGCAGGTGCATTGCTCTGTTCAAATAATGACATGGTTGTATAAGCTATTTTGACTGCTCTAATGAAAGATTAAATATGCAACATTTTCAATTCTTTCATTATAGACATGTACACCTGCCGTAGAGGTCCATCTGTGAGCCAAAGCTTTTTAATTTCCCAAAAACCTCTTGATGCTACGACCATATTCACCTAAAGCTCTGTTTACAAAGCCACTGAGCAGAGAACTGCTTTGAATCAATCCTTTTAGATCTGCTAAATGAAGCTAAATCCCCCCCCTGAAACAAGAAGCTGGGCCTCCATCATGAGAGGTAGACAGGTAGAGACTGCTGTGGTACTTACGTCCTGACTAACCTGTAATGACACCGTGTGGTAGCTGGCCGGCACTCCCTCGTCCTCCTCCTCGTCGCTATGGGAACGTGATGGACGCTGGCTGGACACCCGGCTGCCCCCTCGCCTTGTGCCTCCTCCCCCCTCCTTGTCCCTCCCCCCTGCCTTTTTCCTCATCCGGGATTTGGACAACTCGTACTTGTGGCTCTTCTTCTTGTCGTGGTTGCGGTAAACTAAGGGAGCAAATAATCAAATGAGATACAGATCTTTAGTATTTAGGATATACAACTAGAGGTGATTCTTTTCCTTGGGGGGGGTTGTATCTGACCCTTGAATGCCATTTGATGGCTATAATTATGGTACCGACCACTTTGTTTTTCTAGCATTCCAAAAGCGCCTGACTCATCTCTTCTGATTTCAAGTCTTCCCAAAGATGTTTAGGTGAGTTGAGGTATGCTGAGCAAAGAGGAAACACACTCCAATAGACCTGCAGAAGCTTATGCATTTCTGTGATGGCAGCTGAGTTATTCTTTGAGTGAAGGTCACACCCATCCCATAACAGTTTGGAGAACACCTTGAAAATGTATAGACACATGCATTCTCCAGCATCTGCACTAATGTGCCTATGTCTTAAATGTATTATCTTTTTAATTAACACACACAATCTATTGCTCCTCTGTTGCTCTCCTCGAGGTTTCTTCCATTTCCCATTAACTGTGGGGTTTCTTTGGAAGTTCTTCCTTGTCCGATGTGAGGGTCCAAGGACAGAGGGTGTCATATTCATATTCTGTACAAGTGGTAAAGTCCACTGAGACAAATGTAAAATGTGTGATATTGGGCTATATAAAAACAATGATTGATTGATTGAGCTAATGGAAAAAAAAACATGATGGGCCTGCCTACGGTGCTGCTGTGTGAAGCTGACCTATAGTCACACTACAGGTGTATTAGGCCAGAGAGTGGATCGGACTCTGAAGACAATGCAAAGACTCTGTGACAAACATCAAACTCAATATGTTCACTACAAGCCATTGTTACTGGCATGCAGCCGTTGCACACACCCAAGTGTTAAATGCTTTTTCATGCAAAAAAAATAATTTCATGACCTCATCACACCCAAAGTGATCCTCAAAACAACCACAGAGTTATGGGCCATTTCCAAAACAAACCTTCCAGTTATATTGAAACCACCTTCAATCGAAAGTGAAGTGGGACCACAGGCCTGAAAGGAGTAATAGCAGGTGTTGCACTTTCTATTAGTATCTCATACAGATTAGCGCAGTGCCTCAGCCCAGTGCTTTGATCGACCCATCGCTTTTGTTGTCTGCGTAAAGCTCTGTTGACAGCGTGTATCTAATGGCCTGAAGGGAGAAAATGAATAGGCCATCAGCTCAAGTGCACCACAGCCATTTCTCAAGCCGAATCCCTGTCATACTGTAGATCACAACAACACAGGCAGGGATGAATGGAAACAGGGGAGGAAAAGGTTTTAGGGGCAGATGACAAGGATGTTAAAGGGCTGAGATTCAAGTACAATATCTGAGTACCTCTACTCAAGTACAACATCTGAGGACTTCTACTTTCACTACAAGATCTGAGTACTTCTACTTTCACTACAAGATCTGAGTACTTCTACTTTTAATCAAGTACAAGATCTGAGTACTTCTACTCAAGTACAACATCTGAGCACTTCTACTTTCACTACAAGATCTGAGTACTTCTACTTTTACTCAAGTACAAGATCTGAGTACTTCTACTTT